AAAAAAAAGCAAATTTCCAGGTGCTGCTCTTTGATGCCAGTAGGGTTCTCCCACAATCTTTAAAAAACTTAAAAACTAAAAAGCGTCAGCCCGTCTCCCTCTGTCTTAACCAAGCAAGATTTGAAGCAGGCCGAAGCAGACTCAGGGAGGTTCGCAGTCGCGCACGAAGGAATCCATGCCACGGGGTGACAGGCAGACTGGTGAGGCCAAGGCGGTGGATGCAGACCAAGGGAGCCGAGACTCCCCTGCCCTTGGTGGAGGATGACCACCTCTGTCCCCACCATTCCTACCACCCCAGCCAGATGCTCAAGGCTCACCCACCTTGGCTGCTTCCACCACGCCGGTTCTCTCACCGTCACTCTTGCGGCTATGCCCTGACGTGACCACCGTCACCCGAACGCCCTGTTGCTCTTGTAGATTGCTCGCGAAGCCGAGGCAGCCATCTTTCACAGGCAATTGTTCGAAGAGCTCCGCCGGCTGGCCCCCCTGAATCGAGACCCTACCGAAGCCGCCGCTGTGGGTGCCGTAGAAGCCTCCTTCAAGTGCTGCAGCGGGGCCATTATTGTGCTCACCAAGTCTGGAAGGTAGGAGGCGGAAGGTGCTGGCCGAAGTCGCGAGGACTGACTTGCTCGGATGGCCAGATAACAAAACGCGCCCTGCAGCTGAGCAGCTTGTCTCTTCCTTCCTCTCAAGCACAGGTTTTTCGGTCTCTGGATGGAAGCGCTGCCGACGTAGCCTTGGGCTAGGTCTTCCCTGGCCCGGAGCTGCTTGCTTAGCCAGCGGTCCTCCAGCTTCACAGTGCCAGGATAATAAAGGCCCTTTTTAAAATTGAGTTTGTGGATCACAAACTTCGTTTGTGATAAGTGTTTGCCCGGTGTTTTCCAACTTTCCAGGTGTGTGGAATTCAACTCCCAGAATTCATGCTGGCTGAGGAATTTCTGCCGAGTTTGAAGTCCACGCATCTTAAAAGTTGTCAACGTTGCGAAACACCTTCTCAGGCAATAACAATGAAACAGCAGCTTGCTGTGGCCATGTGCAAACGAAAGGAGAAGCACAAACCTAGTGGTAATTTTCGTGGGCTCATAATTTGTCTGGGCAAGTCTTAAGAAGCTTTTTTAAAAAGAGGGCACTTCCCAGGGCATAAGCCTCCAGAAAGTTTTGGGCTGCCTCCTTTAGTGGAAAAGTTGCAGGGGAGGGGTAAGTTATTGTTATATAAGTTATAAGGAGCCTCTGTGGCACATTGGTTAGAGTGCAGTACTGCAAGCTACTTCTGCAGCCATATTTCTGAATTTGGCAGTTCAAATCCCACCAGGCTCAGAGTTGACTCAGCCTTCCGAGGTGGGTAAAATGAGGACCCAAATTGTTGGGGGAAAGAGGCTGACACTCTAAACCGCTTAGAGAGGGCTGGAAAGCACTATAAAGCAGTATATAAGTAAGAGCGACTGCTATTTTTCCTGCCAGCAGTTCCAATCCCACCTGGCTCAAGGTTGACTCAGCCTTCCGTCCTTCCGAGGTGGGTAAAATGAGGACCCAGATTGTTGGGGGCAAGAGGCTGACTCTGTAAACCACCTTGAGAGGGCTATAAAGCACTATAAAGTGGTATATAAGCCTAAGTGCTATTGCTGTTGAGTGGGCAATGTCCCCAGCTCAACAGCTGTGTAATACGTGCCAAAGAGAGTGACACTGAAACTTTGATCTCATTTTTATCAGCACAGAGTTTTGCACGTTAAGGGGGGTGAGCTTGCTTGTGATTTAGTGTATGATGGGACCTAGACCACCATACTAAACCCTAATGTTTATCTGAACACCAGTGTGTTTCAAGAACAGAGCAATGGCTTGGTTATGCCAGGTTTAGCATGCCAGTCAACAGGCCGCAAGTCTGCAGTTTGTTTATATCTCTGTTGAAACTGCAGGGCGAATTTATTTTTCTGCAGATCAGACCAAGCGTGTCTGCAGTATTGTTTGCAGCCAGAATTGATGCAAAGTACTGATTCTCCAAAACAAGGATTATCTGGGGGAAAAATATTTACGCAGATTTGGAGGAAATAACACTCAGGAAAAAGAAGCAGCTGAAATGAGCAATCCAGTATATATTGGCACACCCTATGAAATTAAGAACATAACTTCCTGCTAAACCTTTCTTACTGTTTTCTCATAAAGGGTTCCTACCTACCGTTTGCTCGTGGGTTCTGAAATACTGCGTTTTGCAAATATAGTTTAGTTCTGGATTGTATCGCCCTAATCATATTTCTGTAATGCTTTCGATTTCTTAATAGAAGTCGATACAAAATTGCCTCATTTGCAAATATTTATGATGCTTGATGTTGAGGGAAGTTGGAAAGAGAAACCAACAACGTTCCTGTCAGGACTCCCAACAAATCCACCCCCATTCAAATCATAAGTCTCCAGCCACATCTCTCTGAGAAAAGAAAATTGATGTATTAGAATTTGCCATGTTGCCGTTAGCTGGATGCAGCCGATACTAAAATATATCATTCATTTCCCCCTTGACCCTGGGGCTTTCCCCCAGGAATGTGTCCTATTGGAGAATGTATATTCTCCAATTGGACTCATCCATAGCCAAGAGTCATCAATCATGCTCTCCAGTAATATTCTTGCGCTCTGACAACTTTGGGCTGCCAGGGTGATTATCTAGGCACTTGAGGGACACACTGTTTTCCCCCACTCCCATTTCTGCTAGCAGCTAAAAAGACCAAAGGAATATCTTTTTAGTTGACATTCAGCTCCCCTCACTTCTTGAAGGTTCCATTTAGGGCAGATATTTTATTGAATATACTAATTCTGTAGACTGGGAGCCGATATTTTTAAAGTAATACTGGAACCAGTTGAAACCATGATATGTGTGTATTAATCTCAGTGTCTCTTTTTTACCCCACCCTGTGTGCTCCCCATTTTAAAGCAAAACGGCACTTGCAGAATTGTGTACGTTCCAGTCGGCTGGCAGTGGTGAAGGTGATTAAACTTCCCAAATCTTTTTCCAGGTCTGCTCACCTGGTGTCCAGATACCGACCACGGGCCCCCATCATTGCTGTGACCCGTAATGCTCAGACCGCCCGCCAAGCCCACCTCTACCGTGGCATTTTCCCAGTGATGTGCAAGGAGGCAGCCCTGGATGCTTGGGCCGAAGACGTCGATCTCCGTGTGAACCTGGGCATGAATGTTGGTAAGAAGTCATTTATGGGGGGTCTTAGGTTTCCTTCCTGTAAGATGAGCCTGGAAGGGAGCAGCTACCTTCTGCACTTTCGAGAAGCTGGTAACATTTCGGGGGTGGTATAGCGGGAATCTCCAAACTTGGCAACCTTTGAAAGACTTGTGAACTTCAACTCCCAGAATCCCCAAGCCAGTCATACTGACTAGGGAATCCTGGGAGTCCACGAGTCTTAAGGCTGCCAAGTTTAAAGACCTGTTGTACGCCACCAAGGGCATACACTCCAATATTAAAAGTTAATGTTCCCAGCATTGGGGGTTTAAAAAAATTCAGCTGGTCCTATCTTCTAAGGCAGGAGTCTTCAAACATGGCAACTTTTAAGATTTGTGGACTTCAACGCCCAGAATTCCACAGCCAGTCATGCTCACTGGGGAATTCTGGGAGTTGAAGTCCACAGGTCTGGTTTAAGAGAATAATAATGGAAGCTGGCAAAAACAGTTTGAAAATGGTGGTCACATCACCGCGCCACAAATAGCCGTGAAGGTTGCCAAGCACCCAAATTGAGATCACCTGAGCGCAGAGGGACCATGGCCATAGTGACTCTGTAAGTAGCTCTGCGGAGGCTTGGAGTAATTTCATTGTGGCACAGTGGTGAGAGTGCAGTACTGCAGGCTACTTCAGCTGACTGCAATTAGCAGTTCGAATCTCACCAGGCTCAAGGTGGACTCAGCCTTCCATCCTTCCCAGGTGGGTAAAGTGAGGCCCCAAATTGTCAGGGGCAACAGGCTGACTCTGCAAACCGCTTCGAGAGGGCTGTGAAGCACTATAAAGCGGTGTATAAGTCTTGAGTGCTATTGCTATTCTGGCTTTGCATCTTGTGTGAATTTAGTCTGTTGGGTTTAATGCATCACGCAAACCGGATTAAGGGTTAATTTCATAATTAGGAAGCACGTTGGTCATGAAGTGTCGGACACGGTGTAGCATGGGGGTTAAAGTGTTGCATTGGGATTGGGAATCCAGTTTTAGGTTTCAAGACACATGGTGGCCCCTGTGGTTAGAGTGCAGTACTGCAGGCTACTTCTGCTGACTGCAATTTGGTAGTTCAAATCTCACCAGGCTCCAGGTGGACTCGGCCTTCCATCCTTCCGAGGTAGATAAAGTGAGGACCCAGATTGTTGTGGCGGGCAAGAGGCTGACTCTAAACCGCTTAGAGCGGGCTGTAAATCGCAGTGAAGCAGTTTATAAGTCTAAGTGCTATTGGTATTAAAGACTCATATTGAGCAACCAGTCATAAGCCAAAGAGCTACCTCTGGATTCCACATTAACCGGTCCTGCTTTTTCACGTATCCTGTTTTGAACCTTTTCCAGGCAAAGCTCGTGGATTCTTCAAGTCAGGGGATCTGGTCATCGTGCTTACCGGCTGGCGCCCTGGATCCGGTTACACCAACACCATGCGTGTAGTGCCTGTCCCGTAAAACGGACCCTGGCCACAATCACCCCCTCCTCCCGCCTCACACCCCTTCCTGTCCCTCTCGCATTAGACCAGCAACTGCTTGCAATTTCGTTCTTTGTCTGTAGAGCGGATAGTGACTGCCCTAAAGCCATCGAGTGCAGTAACCGGGGAGGCGGAAAAGAAAAAGAGACTCTCAATTTAGAAAATACTTGAAATAGTTTGATAAGTGGAACCTCCTTCCCCCTTTTCTTCCTTGCCCTGGGCTATCCGGCCTTATTTGTTAGGAGCCAGTATGATCCAGCAGCTGGGGATCGCCCGGTTTCTCTTCTGGAGCCGATCCCCTCTGCAGGGAGACTAGGAATCTTGGCTGGCTTATTTAGTACGGCATTGTAGGCGAGGCTTGGTGTCATACTCATCCTAAATCCCACCTTTCCCAACGCCGCCTCCTCTCTGTAAGTCTGTGTTGTCAGCACTCTGCCAAAACACTCCTCACGGGCTCTGCTACACCATAGTTGGCTTGATCAGATCAACACACACTCCAGTAGGGGGTTTGACACAAGCCCCCTTTCCTGCCCCTGGGAAGTTTTTAAGAAAGCAAATCTTTTCAGTCTCCTGTTCCTCCTTGCCAGTAGACCCGAAGAATATCAGATTATATATATAGATATATATATATTTCACAGTGGGTTGGTTCAGGAGTAGATTGCGCTGTTTTTGACAGCCTAGGAAGACTTTTTTGTGGGGAAACCAATCTTTGCTCAGGAAACTGAATGCAAGCGAGCCAGGCCACCGGAATTGTTCCCATCACTGCACTCCACCCAACCGAAGCTACCCAGGGTTGTTTGTGCCGCTGTTGTTGAGCTGTCTTGTGTTCCAGTTTTGAGTCATGCCTCCTGACAGTGCACTCTGTAACTCTCTCTATACATTACCTGCTGTTAAAAAGAGATGCATCGGATTGTCAGATGCCACTTAATACATCAATAAAGCAGAGTTCAACCCATCCTTTCCTGTTTTTGAAGTTTACCAACCCCACAGCTGGGTTGCTGTGCCGCGTGAGAAATAAAAGTGAATTGGGTAGAGGGCTGGAAAGGGTATGGCTGGCACCGTCCTCCTGAAATGTCCTTTGGTTCAAAATACAGTTATTAAAAATATCACTTTCCCTTCTGCAATAATGATGGAAATTGAGCCCAATGTCCTCCCTTCCACGCCTGAAATAGCAGCAGTTACTTAGAAAGAAAATTTGCAATGGAAAACACAACTGTAAAGTATAAACCCCTTGTTTTCAAGGAACCACATAGTGCCCAAGTAAACTTCTGTGCTGCACTGTTGTTTAGCATGTATAGTTTAGGTTTGGGGTTTGTTTTTTTTACATATAACAATGGAAGATGATAAAGCTTTTAGGAATTCCCATTATTTCATCTTTACATTTATATATTTTCCTAAAACATGTAGCTATAGATGTGAAAATAGTTGGACTTAAAATGTCGCAGAAGTAGAGATACTGTAAGCCTGCTCAACCAACTAGCTCGCTGAAATACAACAAACCCCCAAATTCCCAAGTTCTGAGAGTTACCAAACCATATTCAGTTGATGAGCGGTGAACAGCCTCCGTTCAGCAGGGTGGCCCCAGATACAATCTGGAATGGATTTTTTTTTTCTCTTTACAACTTTAGCAACTTTTTAAGTTGTGTGGACTTCAACTTTCAGAATTCCCCCAACCAGCAACGCAGAGCAAATGTTGAGATCTCCCCACCCCCAGATCCATCTGTTTTATCTTGTGTGCACCCAACAAAGGACACCTCAAAAAAAAAACCACCCCAGTTCTTGGCAGAAGATGTGGCAGGAGCTCCTGGGAGATTTGAAAGAGAAGGGCTGCCCTCTGGGGTGGTCCTTGCACGGGAGTTTCTCCAGGGATCTGTTAATGAGGTTGATCCTGCTTCGTAGCTTCCAGCGGAAGCTGGCAATCTCTTCAGAGACTGCAAAGCATCTTATCTGCCCCTGGAGGTTTTGATGGGGAGTTGTGTGAGGTCTCTTTTGCAAAGGGAATTGTGCCTCTTTAGGCAACTGCTTCGGGCCAAGTCCCATTTTTGCAAGTACCTGTGGCCAACTCTTATTATTCTGCACCCCTAATTTTTAAACACACCCTGCTGAGCTTGTTATGGTTCCCCTGCCTTCTTTTCTTCTTCTTTTTTTTTTTTACCTCAGATGACCTTCCAAACAAAGCCATAGCTTACAGCTTTTGTTTGACTATTTTGTAGGACTTCCAAGTCCCAGGTCCCAGAGACAAAAAACACACAAAAAAAAAAAACAACCAGTGGTAGAAGTTGGAGCTTTGCAAGGCCCAATATTTGATTTTTTTTTTTACAAAATTAAAAAGTTGGACAAGAATTGGTGGATTGACTAGGGACCCAAAGGAGCAGTTTTTGCTGCTGCTGTGTTAAAGAGGAATGATTTGTCTGGTGTGTAGGTCATCCTAGCTCAGGAATTGTGTACTGAAATGCAGCAATAGCACAATTGGAAATCGGAAATTCCACTGCTAAGCGTTGTTAAATGAGTTGTGCCCAGTTTTATGACCTGTTTTGGCACGGTTGTTAAACGGGTCACTGGTTATTAAGTGGATCATGCTGTCATGCAAATCTGGCTTTCCTATCGACTTTGCCAGCTGGGAAGCTCTCAAATGGCCACAAAACTCCAGGATGCTGCAGTTATTATAAACTCAGTCAGGATTCTCAAGTCATCCAGGGGCATTTTGTCAAGAAGCAACTGGACTTTCTGTTTGTTTGTTTTTCTTTGAAGATGTTTCGCTTCTCATCCAAGAAGCTTCTTCAGCTTCCCCACCATCCAGTCAGAGCCGAAGAAGCTTCTTGGATGAGAAACAAAACATCTTCAAAGAAAAACAAGAAAGTCCAGTTGCCTCTTGAAAAAAAAAAAAAAAAACACACCTCCGTGATCTCTGAGCTGGCTTGTTTTCTTGCAGACGTTTCATGACCCCGCTAGGTAACATCATCCGTGGTAAAAGGGCTCGTATAAAAACCTCACGCTGTCTAAGCACTGATGATGTTACCTAGTTGGGTCATGAAAGGTCTCTGCAAGAAAACAAGCCAGCTCAGAGGGTTTACTTCCGAGTAAACGGGCAATCCGATTTGGAGGAAGGGCTGTGCCTTGTTGCATTGCAGCCCCTGCTGCCGACGGGGGGTCTCTGACCCACCGCTAAGCCACCTCCGTCCTGAGGAGGCAGCGGCCCCTTTAAGAGCGAAGGAACTTTTTTATTTCCACCCCCAACTCCTTCCCAGGCCGGCTCGCCCCCCCTCCTTCCTTTCTGGTGGGGCGTGGCCTCGCAGCGACGGTGGTGGAAGGAGCCAATCGCGGCGCGAGGCGGGAGCCGGGCCGCCGCCGCTCATAGGCTGCCGAGGGGGCGGAGCCTGAGCCGGCCGATCGCGCGCCGCAGGCGTTCGGGGAGGGGCGGGGGCAGGGAGGGAGGGAGGAGGCGATCGCGCGGGCCGCCGCGCAGGTATGCGAGTTGCCCGGTCTCCGTGTCGGCCGCTTCGTGGGAATGGGGCGGTTTGCGAGGCGGTGACTCGCGAGCCGGGAAAAGAGCTCCGGGGCTCAGCCGCGCCTCGGGATGGCGGGTTGGAGGGTCCTTGTCCTGCTGCTGCCCCGAGGAAGGTGCGGAGCTGAAGGAGCCGCTGCTGCTGCTGCCGCCGCCGCCGCCGCCTTTGTATGTACGTCGGGATCGGCTGAAGGGGGCGGGGGAGAGAGAGAGAGAGGCTGGGGGGTCTGACACGGGCGGGCGCCTCGCTTTCTGCCGTCGTCGGAACCCGGGAGGAAGGGCGTGTGTGTGTGTAGACACGTGTCGGCTCCCCGTGTCGTGGGAAAGGAGTGGAAGAGAGGCTGCTGCGATCGTCTTTGCTCGGGGAGGGTGGCTGTCTAACTCGGGCAGGCGACTTCCTTGCAGAAGCCCTGCGGGGGCTTTGCTTTCTGCAGTCGTCGGAACCCGGGATATGGGGCGGGGAGTGCAGACGCGTGTCGGCTTCCAAATCTCGTGGGGAAAGGATGCGGGTTATCCGGGAAGAGAGGCTCCTTGTGCTCGGGGACGGAGGGGTGTGTGTGTGTGTGTGCCTTAACTCGGACAGGCGATCTCCTTGCAGAAGCCGCGCTTGGGCTTGGCTTTCTTGAGTCGTGGGAACCCGGGCGAGGGTTAGGATTAGGGCCTGTCCCGTGGGAAAGGAGTGCGGGTCAGCCAGCCAGCCTTCCTGGGCAAGAGACGGCGTCCTTTGCTCGGGCTGGAGCGGAGTTAGGCGAAGGCGGCGCAAGCGAGGAAAGGAGGTGTGGCGGGAAGAGGAAAGAGAGCCCGTCGCTCCTGCCTCGATACCCCGAAAGGAAAAGCAGGAATGGGGGTTCAGTCCCTGGGCTGCATTTCCCACCCGCCCTTCCAGGCGTTCCTAGGCCTCGACCGAGGACCACAAGTCAACCCAACATTTCTGCTGTTAAGTGAGACTGTTGGCTAAGTGAGGGGTTTTTTTTTGCCTCCCATCTTTTACCCACCTTCCTTGCCACCGTTGTTAAGTGAAACCACCGCAGGAGCAAGGTTCTTAAGTGAGTCTGTGACTTCCCCGTTGACTTTGGTTGTCGGAAGGTCCACAAAGAGGGGCGGGAAATCACGCGATCCCGGGACACTGCAGAAGTCATAAAGAAGAGCCGGTGGCCAAATGTCTGAATTTTGATCAGGATGCTTGCAAGGTTGTGGAAAAAAAAAATGGTCATAAGTCACTTTTTTAAAGCGACGTAACCGTTGAAGAATGGTTCCTAAATGAACTGTGGTAAGTCAAGGAGTTGAGCAGTATCCAGTCAGCCACTCCTGCACCAATTCTCGGCTTAATGCGGGATGTACTTGGGGTGGCCCCACTTAATCTGACCCACCTTGGAGGGTTGTTGTGACAACAAAAGTGTAGGATTTTGCCCTGGCATGCAAGAGATGATTAATGGGCACCGGATGCCATTTACAGTCAGTTTTTGAGTGGAGCAATTTTTCCCTTTGGTTCCTTTGAGTCACAATTGCCTAGGCAAGTTCCTGCATTTTTCTGAGCAAGGTTTTTCAGAAGTGGTTTGCCATTGCGTCTTTCCTAGGGGCTGGGAGCATGTGGCTGGCCCAAGATCCATCCAGCTGGCTTGGAGTCCGAGGCAGAACTAGAACTCAGAGTCTCCGGCTTTCTAACCTGAAGCTTAAACCAGACCTGCCTTCTTGAAAGGCTTGTAAAAGAAATAAAATTTAATTGGGTTGGGGAAACAGAGGTTCTTTTATTTTATTTTAGAATAACAGAGAATATAGAATAACAGAGTTGGAAGGGACCTTGGAGGTTTTCTAGTCCAACCCCGTGATTGAGCATGAAATCCTATACCACTCTGGACAAATGGCTATCCAGTCTCTTCTTGACCACCTCCAGTCATGGAGCACGCTCAACTTTTCTACTTGACTTTGATTCAACGGCATCATGAAGAAGAAAACCGAGTTCACAATAACAGAGTTGAAAATGGCTAGCTTCTCAGCAAAAATGTGACTTTGGAGCCCCAATTTTGAGCTCCTTTTAGCTGCTTCTAATGAATTTCCTTTCTCCTAACCTCATTGACAAAAGTATAATTTTGAATTGCTCTTTGCAATGGATTTCTGCTTTTTAATTCAGTCCAGTTGGGTGGGATTATGACTTCCTCCTGGTGAGGTTTGGCAAATATTAAGGGACCAGTAAGCTACATGGCCTATTATTATTATTTTTTTATAAAATTAGGCTTGCAAAGAATGCTGAACTCTTAAGTAGATCCAAAATAGTCACTTTTAGATACCTCGCAGGAGCATCTGCAGAATATGGTAAAAAAAAATCAAGATCAAATGGTAACCACAAAGGTCTCCATGAAGCTTTTGTCTGAGACTGCAAACTGGTTACCATTTGTATGTACATTACGTGGCGGGTCTATTCTTTAAATTCTAGATTTTGTATTTCATTAG